CCGGGCCTGGGATCCGCAGTGCCGGTGGGTCAGTGAGACCTGGGGTAGGGGGGAGACCAGGGAGGGTCTGGGGGTCAACGGGCCTTGGGGTAGGGGGAAGGGCCTGGGGGTCAGCGGGACCTTGTAGTGGGGGGAGGTCCTGGGACTGGGGAGACGGCCTTGGGGACAGCATGGCCAGTGTCGGCTTATTCTCCACCCTTAAGGTTACTGCAATAAACAAAGGCCTGCTCTTCCCTCCGCACCAGTCTGGTGCTGGCCGTAGCCCCCTGGCAGGCTGCCCCTGCGTCTTCCACACGTGGGGGAAAATGTCACACCACGTGAATGCAGTGTGAAGGTGGGAAGTGTCCCAGTCAAATGAGGTTCCTCAAGGCTTTCTGTTCCTGCCCTTAGTGACAGTGGTAGCTCTACTGACCCATTAGAGGGGCCTTATGATCCTCTTTCAGCTGCAGCCTCAGTCCAGAAGAGATAGATTTTGAAAAATGCTGTCTGAGCTAGGGCGGTGCAGTGTCTATTCAGAGTTTTCCAGCCTTGGAGTGGTAATTGGTACCTAGAAATAAACAGGAATTGAATTTAGGTGAGCGTGGGCAAAGTCAGATGGTGTAAAGATGTTGGCAAAATTAGGGGCAGGTGGAGTAGTAGAAAGTCATACTCATGAGCTGTCCTTTTGACTTGAAATTCTCAAGGTAGATTTGACAAAAAGGTTTGGGGTTAGAATGTTCTGGATTGTGTTAAATTGACATTGAAAGAATGTGCACGTACACATGTGTAATAAAAGGCTGGCTTAAGTCTTCGAGTTGAGAATTTTCAAATAATTTGTCTGTATTTCTCAATGGAATCGTATTGTGCATAAATTATTCCAAACCCCCTGAACTTGCGAACTTGTAGCCTGGCAGCTGGTATGAGTGCAGAAGGGACTGTTGTCGAGTAAGTTTGGGGGAAAACGTGTTCTGTTGAGCAGCCTGGCTCTGGTGTTTCTGTTTGGCATGTGATGCTTCCAGTCACGCCTGCATTCCCCTCTGCGCATGTCCTTCCCTTTCCTCACCTGAGAGAGGATTCAGGACCTTGTGGGCTGACAGTGTTAGAATGAATCGGCTCATTTGAATGCCTCATAATTACTTTTGGTGCCTGGTTAACCTACAGGGTAACCCCGTCACATGCCATACTGATGCCTTTGAACCTATACTTCTGCCTAATGGCCCGCTGAGTAAAATTTGCTTTAGAGACGTTTGGGTTTTACTATTTAAACATTTATATTCAAGTAGTCAGCCAGAGGCACTCTCGGCAATGTTTTGGGAATCAAAGTGCTGGGTAAGTGAAAGCCGTTTGGCTTATTTATAGAACAATAGATTTTGGCAAAAGTTTCAACCTCAGGATCTAGGAGCTATTCTGAAAAGCCAACACATTAGCCACCCTTATGCAGGCATCAAAAAGTAGATTTTTTGAAACTTTGTTTTCTGGTCTGAGACCTTGCCAAACAGCCTTGTGCTCTCTGAAAGTAGATTCAGGCCAGTTGTGGTATGCTTGTCACCAAGTCCCTCACAGAGAGGAAGCTCTCCTCATGGAGAGTGTAAGCTTTGTGGGGGCGCTGTCTACTTATTCACTGTAGCATCCTTGGGGCCTCACCTCATACCGGGCACATGGCAGGCACTCGATACAGTTGGGGATTCCAGAGAGGTCCATTCTCATTTCCTCCTCTGTGTTCCAAAATGGACAGACTGTGGCTCTGGTGCCCTGGGGTGGGAGTGCCCAATCGGTCCATACACCAGGGTGCATTTCCAGTCACTTGTGTGGGGTTGGGCACGACTGATCTTTTTGCATCAGCATGGGCTCTTGGCCTGCATCTCTGTCCTTTAAGGCCACCCTGTCAAGGAAATGAAATGTATAACAGTCGTGTTAGCTCGAGTAAGGCTGGAAAGGTGAGTCTGAGGAAGCCTTACAGTTAAAACTCAAAGACGGCCGATCTGAAGACAGTGGGACGCACTGAGACATCCATACCGTAGTCCTCTTGCATGTGCTTGGCAACCAGTTAGGCGTAAGTTGAGGAGTCAAGTCCTCATCTTGAAACCTGTGTGTCACATGTGTTCCAGCGTGAGTGTAGTTAGCACCGCTCCTCCTCTATGACTTTGGTGTTACTCAGAAAGCTCTCCACTCCTCCAGGTAGGTTCACCTTGTTTTGAGTGTGGCATTTGGGGTTTTGGATTTCCACCTGGGACTTCCGTGCTTTCAGATGTTTGAAACTGGGGGGAGGGGAAGACTGTTCTTTAGTTTGCAGTGTGCTTCGTGGACTGAGAAGGCGCAGCATTGGCCTGCTTTCCCTGGTGGCCTGTTGTGCTGACAGCCAGGAGGAAGGGCTACCGCACTGTGCCCTGACAGGTTATCATTCACATCCATCCCAGAATTGCCCCTTCAAAGGGAGCAGTATCTTGGGACTATTTCTTGAATGCCCAGGATTCAGAAAGTATATATACTGGACTTGGGCTACCGTGGGACCCCAAAAAGTCCAATCTCAATCCTCATTCTCAGCCTGGCAGATCCAGAGGCCCTTCAGGAAGGCAGGCTGGGAAGGCGTGGCAGCCCACACGCAACCCTCGGAGAGCACCCCAGCAGCCTTCCCAGCCCTGTGTGTGCTCGCATTTTTAATGTCCACGTGCTTAGGCCCATCGCTCTGGGGCAATAGGTTCTTTGAGTCAGTGGAAACCAGAAGTCCTTGGCTTTTGCTGGCAGTGTACCACTTACAGACTTGATAACATTTGAGAACAGAGCCAAGATTCTTAATGTGGACCGTGTGTTCCGGGCCCTAGCACAGCAAGGGTGTCTGGGGGAGGAAGCTACGCAGGGTGGGCTGGGCTGGAGGCCAGGAGGTCTGGCGCTGTCGTCATGAGCAGAGCTGTATCTCTTCTAGAGGCAGGCAGCAGGGCCTGGGGGCCTGAGGGGTAGAATGGAGCTTTTCAATTTTCGCATCTTTCCTCTCACTGGCTGCCTTCTCTTGAGAGGCACTGTGCAGGGCGTGCGGCACACAGTAGGGCTGCAAGGCACTGGCCAGCCTTTAGAGGAAAGCATCGCCTGCCCTCACTGCAGCGCTGAGGGCTGAGGCTTCCCTTGCCTTGGAGTTTGTGTTTTGCGCAAGTATTTCACATGAGAAGTCATGGTGCTGTACCATGCCACCGTGCCAGCATTTGCCCTGTGAGACCATCTTTACCCTGCTGTTCCAAGGTGTCTCCCTATTTCTTTGTTGACAAGACAGTCCTTAATGGGAATTACCAGCTTGCAGACTGGTAATTCAGAGTTACCTTCCTGTCCCAGGACAGGGTCCCACTCTGGGTTAGGTTCACTAAGTTCACCATCTGCTTTTGTCTGCTCAACTTGAGGGACGTAATTTTGCTTTCCTAGGACAAACGTTGGCCTATGTCTAAACGTAAACTAACATTTGTGTCAGGTGAAGGAAACCCTCTCAGAGCAGACCCGGGTAGTTGAGCTGCGCAAGAGAGTCGAGGTTGTTTTGGTGACAGAATTTTCTTAATGTAAACAGACAACCTGAGCAAACGTCTGCTTGTCCGTTGGCTGTTACTTGTTCTGAACTCAGAACTCAGTAGTATCTTTTAAATAGTTCTCCTTCTTGTAGTACTTCTGAGGCTTGGCTGTGGTGAAGGACCAGGTTCTGTAACTTCCAATCTGTTGCAGACCAGAACTTTTGTACAATAGATAAAATGTTGCAGCAACACCAGATTGCCATCACAGTTCCTCAGTGCTCCCTTGCTGTCCTGTGTGTGTCCCCATGTGGATTGATGTCAGTTGGAGGCCTGAACTTTGAGCAGCACTGCCAGTGGGGCTGGGGGGTGTCACCAGTGGGGAGACAGGGCTGCAGACTGGTGGATTTGAGTTTAACTTGGTAGCCTTGTGAAAGTTGGTACCCACAGGATGCACAGAAGCTAAAGCTCTCTTGCTTTCTATTTCTACCCAGCAGTGAAAAGTTCCCTGAAAGAGGGTCCCTGGAGTATGTGCTGCTCTCACTTCTGTTGGCAGAGCCCATGTCTGGCCACTCTTTTGTAGCCTGTCATCAGAGTTGGGACAACCTTTATGTCTGAGCCTGCAGGAGGGCTGGCTCTGTTGGCTGGCACAGCACATGGTCTTGGCTCCATGGTAGAATGTGATTCATACTGTGTTCTAGAGTTGCCAGGGGTCATTTGTCCCCAATGCTATCGATACTTGCAGGGATGACTGTCACATTAGCTTTATCAGCTATAAAACAGTGGAGCTAGAGGTATTCTCCACCTTCTTAAGGATGCTAGTCCAGCAGACTGCATGATCCCGGGCTGTCCTGTCACTGAACTGGCCAGAGCAGTGGTGCTGTCACCAGAGGCTGTGCTGCTCCTGCTTTGGGGTGCAGGGAGTTGCTGACGTAACTAGTGAGGTGAGTCACCACCCCTCCTGCCTGGGCGATTTCGGTTCAGAGTCCAGGTCCTCAAAGGAGCTCAGAGCTCATCTTTCGTTTGCACGGTATGTTTTATGATGAAGTTGTTACTCTCGTGATTGGATGACTGTCCCAGCTGTAGGCAGGAAGAGCAAAATGTATTACCTGTCTTCCCTTTGAGTGCCCCAGAGAGTCTTTGTTGAATGGTAAATGAGGTTCTTAAATCTAGGTGGTTCTTGGCAGTGATCAGATGGTGGTTTTCTTCCTGTGGAACTGTAGCACTGGCTACCAGTTTTGGATCCAGGCTTGCTAGAAGCAGTGTGTGTCACGCAGCCACCTGAGCAGACTTAAGGTGACTCTGTTTCTCTGTGATTCTTGGGGTTGACTGGACAAGTGTGAATTTTAGCAGACTGTCCTAATGCTTGCTGACCTTATTCTGCTTTTCATCTGGGAATCTCAGCTTCCTTTGCAGCTGTTAATCCATTCACCCACAACTCTCTCGTGACACAGATGGCAGATCTCCTGCTGATGTCGACTGACAAGAGAAGCAAGTCACCAAGAACTAGCCAGGTTGCTTTCCCCAGCACTGCAGTCTGCCCAGCAGAGTCTCCCTGGGAAGGAAGTCTCATAGGGTTCTCTCTGGACTGCTGGAGCCAGCGTTAATTCCTTTGCAAATAACCACACTACTGGGAAGAATTAAAGTGTTTTCTACTTAGAAGGAACCTGTGAAGGGAGAGGAGAACTGGGTAGTACCACGTAAGACTTACGCTTCTGTTCTGTCCTTGGGAGCATCCTGTGGTAGAGAGAGTGAAGGAAGGTCTGAGGCCCAGCTTTGGGTCAGATTTGAACTCAGGAGCATTTGTGTGTGAAGTCTGGAAGGAGAGTGGTTGTCAGGTTTGCAGTTCCTTATTGGAATAAAGCAGAGAGAGTATTTCTAGATAAAAACTGTAATTTTGCCTCCGAATTCATAGGCTGACTATCACAGTATTAGTAGATGGGTCACCAGTTTATAGCCACAGATTAACAAAAGCTGTGTGCCTAATGTGTGCATTGCATAAGTGGTGTGGTCAGTATTTCTAGATAAAAACTGTAATTTTGCCTCCGAATTCATAGGCTGACTATCACAGTATTAGTAGATGGGTCACCAGTTATAGCCACAGATTAACAAAAGCTGTGTGCCTAATGTGTGCATTGCATAAGTGGTGTGGTCTGGGCTTTGGAAACAGAATCCATTTTTCTGGTCTGGTGTCCCCAGGAAGGGAGGGGCAGCCCTTGGCCTGTTCTTTGCCAGGCCTGCAATGGGTTGGCTAGAGAGGACCCTTGCAGCCGAGTGGGGACTGAACCCATGAGAACTGCCCAACTTGACAGATGCATGCAGCTCAGTGCTGGGCCTGGGTGGACTGTGGGTATTTGGATGTTTGGTAAAAACCAGCCCTCCCTTTAGAGAGAGAGACTCCACACACCCCCATAGGCCTATCAAGGTGGCATGGAGAAACAGAGACAGAGTCACCTCGGAATTCCGCCACAGTCTGCCTCGAGCCTGTGCGTGCAGGGGTCAGCTGACAGGGCTGATCGGAAAGTGTAGACCAGGAAGGACAGTGGCCTGTTTCCAGGTCCCCTGGTGACTGACCAGAGTGGTGCATGTGGAAGGGGGTCGTGGAATACCAAATAGACTTTTCTATACATTTCAGACACTTCTGTTAGAAAAGTGAAAATAAGGATAATTTCCACAGACTTGTCAGCCAGTGACACTATCTCATGATGGAAGGAGAGTATCCACTGTTTGGTCCTCTGTGGAAAATCCAAATAGTGCCCGTTGTTCCTCTGGCGCATGGTAACGTCGGGTCCAGAGGTGCACATCAACGTTTGTGGTTTCCTGTCTTTCCCAGGTACGGACATAGCTGCAGGAGAAGAGGTTGCCATCAAGCTTGAATGTGTCAAAACCAAACACCCCCAGCTCCACATCGAGAGCAAAATCTACAAGATGATGCAGGGAGGAGGTATGTCTTTTGCCTGTTAAAAAAAGAAAACCCAGGTTTTGTTTGATAAAGGAGAAAGCATCACAAATCAGAGCGTCTGGTTTATTTGGGGGAAAAGGGAAGAGGATGTCCATCCACAGCCCTGCCCAAGTGGTGGCTTTGTTCAGAGACTGTTCTAGGTATAGAGGGCCTTCCTCGACAGAAAGAAACATAATCTTATGCTTTTTGCTCAAGTACCACCTCCTTAGCTTTTTGTTCGGTAAGAATGTCTTTGAAATCAAGGGTTTGTGTGAACTTAGAAATAAGCGCATGCTCCTGACGGCAGCATGTGCCACCTCAGCAGCCACCGTGGTTCAGTGGTGGGCATGTCACACTTCAAGGCCTTCCTGATGTGTGATCCCTGGGTATGGCCTCTGCTTGGTCACACACTTTGCTTATAGCTTCTAGGCTCCATTTTTTTACTGAGTAAAATAGAGTTTTAAACTCAGCGACCTCTGTGACTCCTCCCAGCTCAGTTACTGTCTAGTCCTGTGAAACATCACCCCAGGGCCTTACGGTACCTGGTGTCAGACGGTGGGCCAGATGTGGAACCAGAGAGCTCCCATCCTGATCTCAGAGTCTAACTTTTAGAATTCTCTGGACTTTAAAATAGTTTGGCTTGATGGAGCAGGAAGGAGTTTGATTTAGGGATTTCAAAGGTACGAAGACATGACAGCATCGTGAAGGACATGTCTCACTGGAGGAGCTCTTTTGGCGGCCCGGCCTCGGCTGCGTGTAGGAGCCCTCTTTAGGAACAGAGCCTGAAGCACAGCCCTTCCAGTCAGGAGTTCCTGTGGCACTTGCCTAGTTGGATGGTGGGAGGGGAGCCTTCTCAGCACTCTGCTGAAGGAAAGCTTGTCTTCAGTGCCTTTATCAGCCCTTTTGTCAGCAGAGGGGGAGGACTGTTGATTGTGACATCTCTTTTCCAGCTTAATTTGTGCTACAACTAGAAACCAGCATTTCTAGGTATAGGGGACACTAAAAGTATCTTTGGCCGCAGGTATACCCCGAAGCTGCACAAATGGTCCTATGGGGCACGTTACAGAGGGGGGTGTCCAGTGTCTGTCCCAGGCCCTGTGACCAGAGGAGGCCACAGGGATAGAATCTCCCACCTTGTCCCGAGAAGAGGTCAGCAGGGACCCAGCCCCGAGTGTCTGCATTCTGGCAGCCTTTGGTAGAGGACAGACTTCCCAAGGCATTGGGGACTGTCCACATAGCTTTTAACGTTGTGTCAAGTGGAGTAGAATATGGTGATGCAGGATGTGGCCTTTGCTGGACAGGAGGCTGGTGCTGGGGGTTGGGGTGAAACCTACACACTTTAAAAAGTGAGGGTTTTGGGGCCGGCCCGGTGGTGCACTGGTACAGTGCGCCGCTTGGGAGCGCGGCGGCGCTCCCGCCGAGGGTTCGGATCCCACATACAGACCGGTTCCCGCTCACTGGCTGAGCGAGGTGCAGGCGCAACACCGAGGGTTGCAATCCCGTTGCCGGTCCCGGTCCGGTACGGGTGCGACACTGAGGGTTGCAATCCGTTGCCGGTCACGAAAAAAGACAAAAAGGAAAAATTTTTAAAAAGTGAGGGTTTAGGGAGAGACTTGCAAGAACTTGCAAGCTGAGGGCGCCAAAGGCAGAGGGAAGAAAAGCACTCCACTAGAAGTCCAGGATGGACTCTGGCTAAACAGACCAGCCCTGAGCAGAGTAGAGTATATTCGGTTCAGAACAGGCTTTCTTGACCTTGGCACTACTGCCATTTGTGGGGCCATTCTGTACTGTAGGATGTGGAATGACATCCCAGGTGCCAGGAGCACCCTTCTCCTCAGTTGTGACAATCAAAAATTTCTTTGGACGGTGGCAAATGCCCCCAGGGGCAAAGTTGCTTCCCCTTGGACCCTCACTTAGATTGGGAGAACCACTGTCTCTCTTGTTCCTGCCCAAGTCCCTTTTGTAGGATCCTGGAAATCAAACAATTCCAGAAATGGACTTTCTTCCACCTGGGCTTTCAGTGCAGAGCCACATCTCCGGCCATTCCCCACACATAGGTCAGGTTTTACTCCTGTTTTAAATGCATACTTGGAGGATACTTAAAGATCTAAAGATCTGCATTTTAGAAGAGAAGTTACGTCCGGGAACGCAGAGTGCATAATCCTGGTAGTGGTCATTGAACTCGCTCTGAGACTAAACTGAGGATCCGTCCACAGATACAGGATGGAGGAATCCACTTTGCCCAGAAACCCCCAAGTTTTGCTGCTGTCCAGCCTCTTGCAGCCTCTGTCCTGCAGGTGGATTGTTCTGTTTCTTCTGAGAGGGGCAGCAAGCACCTCCCATTGTGGTTTTTCTTTCATGTAAGAGCCAAGCAGTGGTGCCGAGTTCTGATCTTGCTTACATTTGATTGGTACAGGCTGCCTTGTAGGAGAAAGCTCAAAGCTGAGTGGCTTTACTCCATTCTCTGTAGCTTATGGCAGTGCAGGATTCATCCAGGAAACTTCCGGATGCTGGTGGGGTTGCTGTGCCTGGCTAGAGAGAGCTGCTGCACTCAATCACAGCTGCTTAAGGGGGTAGTCGGCGTTAAAAAAAACCCACACATTCATCAAACATTCGCCTGTGCAGTGGGTACAGTGTCTTTAGCCTTGTGTTATGAATGAGGAAACGGGCACAGACAGCTATGTAACTTTCCAAGATGCAGACTTGTACTCGAGCTTTCTAGCCCCCTGGCCACTGCTGCACAGCAGCTGTCTGCTCACAGGGAAAGGGCTGGCGGCTGCCCTCGTGGCACCCAGCTGTCAGGAATGTGCCCCAGATGCTTCCACCTGTCTAGGATCTGGTTGGGACAGTAGATGAAAAACCTGAAATAGCAGAAATACAGTAAATTAAAATTAGCTATGTAGGTGAAAGACTTGGATAAATACCACATTTTCATCAAAACTGAGTGGATTGGCCAGTTAGCTCAGTTGGTTATAATGTGGAGCTGATAACACCAAGATCCAGGGTTCAATCCCTGTACCAGCCAGCTGCCAAAAAAAACAACCTGAGTGGACTGCCAGACAAAACCTAGAGACTGTATTAACTGTTCCTTCCAGTCCTAATGTCCCAAAAAAGTAGCTTTAGCCCACTTCCTCATCCAGTAACCCCTCAGCAGAGAACATAGATTTAGTGCACCGCTGCTTCTATCAAGGCTAAAATTGCAGGTGTGGTTTGGGGGAGGGGAGGGTGGGGTCGTTGTGTAGAATCCAAGCCATGAATGAGGCTCTGCAGCTGGGAACAGGTGACTGCCCGCCATCATCTTTTTATTATGAAATATTTTACAATACCAGAGAACGTGCAATATGTAAGGTATTGAGAACATTCCAGTGGGCACCCGTGGCCCCCTCACCCCACTCGAGGGAACACGGCCCTGTGCAGTCTGTGTACCCACCCAGCCCCAAGTCCGTCTCCACCAGGCCCTTGCTCGTCCATTTTTGTTCTTAAGGTTTTGTTTCTCTATCACCCCACGAGAAACTTATGCTTTTCAGAGTCTAAATAATGACATTGTCTGGAAACATTTGGCAGTTTTATTTATAATTATTTTATGGTTGAATGGCTGAAAACTTCATAAAAAATTTTTATTGCTGAGTCCCTATATTTATATTGAAACATCTCATAAGTCAAAATGGGAAGCATTTGCCAGTGCCTGACCTAGTCCTCCAGTTTTTCATCCCCACGTGTGTGGTTAGGTATCTGTGGGTCTCGTGTGGGGAAAGGAGTATCAAGTATCAGAATTGCAAATAGTAGTTTGCATGACCCATTTCCACTGTAGTGGTGCGTGGGCAGGGCAGCAAAGGGTCCCTGGCACAACTGGTACACTTGGCCATGGACAGCACTCGGTTCTTTGTTTTCTAACTCGATGGCCTCACCTGTTCAGCAAAAACACCACTGGCAGCACTTCAGGAGCACAGACATTGCAGTTGCTGCTTTTGCTGGTGCACAGCATGTCTCACTGGAGCCGTCTGTTGGCCATAGCGGGGAGACTCTTCACCTGGTGCCAGCAGGGCACTCTCATGGACAGTCACTGCTGAGCGCTTCCTGGGGCTTCCTTCCCAGTCCGTTAGCTGACGGTCTGCTCCGGTTGGAGCGGGCCACAGGGAACTTAGCTTCGCTTCCTTCCCTTCTGTCCAGAGGACTCTGTGAGCAGGAGCTCTGTGCTCCAACTGGGTTTCATCCAGCCTAGCGTGTGGGTGAGACAAAGAAGGGTGCGCCATTGGGCGTGAGTGGACATGAGTCCATGGCAAGCATGTCTTCTGAGCATGCAGAACTTTTAAGTATTATACAGTACAATCATTCTGTATGTATTCATGACTTTTCTACAGACCCGACACATTCCTGAGACGCTTCCATGCTGACACAGCCGTATGTGGTTCGTTGATCTTCATTGCTGTGTATTAGTCTGTCGTGTCCATATAGAATGGTTCACTCATGTCATTTCTCCTGTGCTTGAGGAGCCATGGGTTGTTTCTGCCTTTTGCTCTTTGGGACCGTGCTTCTGTGAACATGTGGGACCCGACACATTCCTGAGACGCTTCCATGCTGACACAGCTGTATGTGGTTCGTTGATCTTCATTGCTGTGTATTAGTCTGTCGTGTCCATATAGAATGGTTCACTCATGTCATTTCTCCTGTGGTTGAGGAGCCATGGGTTGTTTCTGCCTTTTGCTCTTTGGGACCGTGCTTCTGTGAACATGTGTGTCCACAGGTTCTGGTGCACACCTGCTTGCACCCACACCTGAGAGTGGCATGGCAGCTTCACGGAGTGCAAATGTCCAGTTCTGTGTGACCATGCTGAATTTCATGCAGATGCACATAAACACAAAAGTATTTCCCAAGGTGGTTGTGCAGACTTATTTTCCTGCCTGCAGTGCATGAGAGTTCCTGTTTGATCCATGTCATCTTCAGCCTTGTCGTGGTCCTTTCTTCTCAACATGGCATTGGAGACCCTAGCCAGCACAGAAGGTTGGGCGAGTGGCGTCAAAGAATAAGGATGGAAAAGGAAGGAGTAAAATGGTTATTTGCCGGTAATGCAACTTCCTATGTAGGAAACGCAGAACAAGTTAGAGATTTCAGCTAGATAGCTTAAGCTCAAACTATAAAATCAATTCATTTTATTACACCACCAAGAATCAGTTACAAAATGTAATTTTTAAAATGCCGTTTACAGTAGCAAAAAGAAACCTGTCTAGGAATAAATCTTATGGCAGGCAAGGCCTGTGTGCAAAAAATTAACAAACTTTATTGGAGGACTTCAAGGAAGCCTTACCTATGTAGAGACATTCTTTGTTCATGGCAAGGGAGACTCAAGACTTGCTCTTAACATTCAGCAAGATTCCAATCAAAATGGAGCAGAATTTCCTTACGTTGACAAGATGACTCTAGAATTCACAGAGAGGAGTGGAGAGCCAAGAGTGATGAAAACACTCGGGAAGAAATGGCTGGTTCTGGGCTGGGGCCAGAAGAGAGGTGAATCTGGAAAGGAAGAGCACCCAGATGTCGAGAGGGCACAGGAGTGAGCGGAAGGGTGTCTGTTGGCCACATTTGGGATGATTAAAACTTCAAAATGAGTCGTCTGTGGGGGGTTGGTTCCAGGGCTTCCCATGGATCCCAAAATCTGTGAATGTCAAGTGCCCGATGTAAAATGGCATGGTGTTTGCATGTAGCCCCCACACAGCCTCCGTGTACTTCAGATCATCTGTATGGCATCTACAGTACCTAATTCAGCATAAGTAGTTGTTATGTCATATTGTTAGGAAATAATGACAAGGGAAAAAGTCTGTACATGTTCAGTACAGCACAGTACAGCACAGTTTTTTCCTAATATCATTAATCCGCAGATACGGAAGGCCACCTGTAATGACAGGAGTGGATTATAACATTTGAGGGGGAGAGAGACTTTATGGATCCATAATACTGCATGTGTAAAGAGAGTACATATACAGAGAGGAGAGTTTATGATTCCTTAACACGCACACACACACACACACTCTCTCTCTCAGACGCGTAAGAAAGACAGTTAAGCTCCACGGAAGGTTGCCACCTCCGCGTGCTGTTTTTATTTCCGGTCCTTTCCGTCCTTCGTATAGGTCTAGATTTCCCCCTGGCGGTATTTTCCTCTGCCTGAAGGACTTCCTTGAACACGCCCGGTAGTTCAGGCTGCTGGGATGATCGTTTGTCGTGGGCGGTTTGATTACTGTGTGTCTGTCATTTTCCTGTGCTTGGGGTCCAGTGAGCTGTTCCTTGCAGTGTGGCTTGTGCCGCCTTCTCCTTTCTCTTCTCCTTCAGGGGCTCCCGTTCCACTGGTGTTGGGTGCTTGGAGTTGTCCCACACACAGCTCACTGAGGTTCTTGTTTGCTGCTTTCCGTTTGCTCTTTGTCCCTATTGCTGCGCCACACTTACACGTCTTCTGCTATGTCTGATCTGTTACTAATTCCACTCAGGGTATTTTTCATCTCAGACATTGTACTTTTCATCTCTAGATGTTAGATCTGGGTCTTTTTTATATCTTCTGTGCCTTTAACTTTTTTGACATGGAATTCAGTTATAATTTATGAATAACTTTCTGTGCCCTTCCATGTTGATTGTGACTTCTGTGTCAGTTGCAATTGGTTGACTTCTCACTGTTGGTTGTGTTTTCTGCTTTTCTGCGTGGCTGGTAATATCTGGATGCCACACATTGAGAATTTTGCCTTCTTGGTTTTGGGTATTCGTACATTCCTCAGGTTCTTCCTCAGCGTTGTGGTGGGATGAAGTTAAGTACGTTGACCTGTTCCGTCCTTGCTTCTGTGGTAATGTGGTGGTGAGGTGGGCGTTGGGGGGCTCACTTGAACTGGCTGCTGCCTGTCTTCCAGTCATCAGTGTCATTTGCAGATGTCCAGTGTCTTATAAACCATCCTTTCACGTTTTATGTTTTGTTTTCTTGGTTTTCGGGTATGAGGGTGAATTGTGTTCCTATTACTCCATTTTTGCTGGAAATAGAAGTAATTGTTATACCTTTTTTCCCCTTAGAATCCCAACCTAGAGATAACTTTTACACTTTTAGAGGAAATAATAGCATTTCTTCCTAACTCTGAGGTCAGAGATGATTTCTTAATATAAGATACTGATGAAAGCATTACTCATGAAGGTAAAGATTAATACATCCATCTTCGTAAAAATGAAGGCACCTCTTTTCATCAAAAAATTCCAAAAGAAAATTTAAAACATGCTATTAACCAAGAGAAGCTTCACATAAAACCAACAATAGTTTAGTATCCAGAATCTATAAAGAACCACTATAAATAGGAGAAAGATGCCCTGATAGAAAAAATTCACAAAAAACACGCACAGGCATTTCAGAGCAGAAACACATGTGGCCAGTAAATACATGAAGAGATCCAAATTTAAGCATCAGTGAGATACCGTTTTATACTCACTAGATGGATAAAGATTAAGAGCGACCGTCCAGGCGTTGGAGAGGAGGATGCACACTAGCAGGACGTCATCCGTGGCTGGTGGCCATGTAAATTGATTTATCCAATTTGAAATCAATTTGACATCCTCTGTACATCTTGTGTAGTCAAGTAATTTGTACCCTACGACTCAGCAGCTGTGTTTCTTGGTATATACCTGGAAGAAGAAGAAAAAAGGAGTGAAAAAGAGTGTCATGTGTATAAGAACTTTCACAGTGGAGGTGTGTAAGGATGTGCTCAACAGCACCGTTTATACGAGGAAAAGTGAACCTGAACCATCCAGGTGACAGGAGGAAAGACGGTGGACCAGGGCACTGCAGAAAGTTCACGGAAAGATCCGTGATGTCTTCTAACTTGTTTTCCTCGAACTCGTCGAAGTGCCCTCGTGTTCTGGGAGTGGGACGTGGTGCAGAGTGCGCGCTTGTTTCCTACAAGCAGGAAACGGCAAGCTTTTGACAGAGGTCGTCTGGGGAGCACAGGATGAGAGAGCAGGTGGTGGGAGGTAGGTGCTACTGCTGGGAATGTTCTAGGGTCTCGTGTAGGGTGGTGGGTTCCAGGCTTCCGTTAGATTGTTCTTTATAACTTTGGTGTTATGTTCGTTCTCGTGAAAGTGTCAAATACCATCTTTATTTATATAATGAAACAACTTTTTAAATGAAGGGGATTTACCTGTTGGTGTCAAAACTTGCTATAAGGCTAAACTAAAAATTTGTCTTGCCATAGAAGGACATAAAAGGTTCATCCAAATAATTCACAAAGCCGTATGTAGAACCAGATGTATAGTTAGGATCCAGTGCTGTGAAGCATACCGAAAAAGGTTTAGGAGAAATTATATAACTAAAGAGCATATTTTGGGGGACAGCACTGTAAGCAGTGCGTGTGTTTCTGTGGCATTTGAGTCTTGACTCTTTGGAATAAGGCTGCTCTCTACGTTCTCGTACAAGTCCGTGTGAGTGTCTGTAATTTCCCTGAGCATCTTACGACTGTTGCCTGTTTGTGTGTGTGCTCAGATGAAGTGTCCAGGTCCTTTGCCCATTTTTCCAAAAGTGGAATGTTTGTCTTTTTAGGGTTGATTTATATTTTCAGATCTGATATATTTTGTTTTTGTTTTGGCTGCTGGCCAGTATGGGCATCCGAACCCTGGACCTTGGTGTTACCAGCACCAGACTGTAACCAAGTGAGCTATCCGGCCTGCCTTAGATCTGACATCTTGAAGGCATCTTTAAATTCTTCCCTTGTTTGGGGTTCTGCACCTGCTGGTTCTCTGCGTTGTGTTTGTCCTGCCATCCTTGTTCTGTCCTCCACTGGCTTGTCTGCCTCCAGCCTGGGTCACTGTGTAGATCTGCAGAAAGTTCTCATCGCTTTTGCTCTAACCTCATCCAATCATTTCGGGAAGCATTTGAGTAATTAAAAATATTTTTTGTACCTAATCCACGGTAGCTGTCTTGCTCTTCTGTTTCTCAGCCACGCATTCCTGACCTTTCTTCCAAACCTTGTCTTCAGTCCAACCAGTGTGACTGGTTTCTGACGGATTCCGCTAGTCGTGTGTCTTGAGCCCTTCCTTACCCTGTGATAATCCACGGTAGCTGTCTTGCTCTTCTGTTTCTCAGCCACGCATTCCTGACCTTTCTTCCAAACCTTGTCTTCAGTCCAACCGGTGTGACTGGTTTCTGACGGATTCCGCTAGTCGTGTGTCTTGAGCCCTTCCTTACCCTGTGATGCCTTCTGCTCCCTGTTCCCCACTCCCCTGCCCTTGGGCTTGGGGCCGTGTTTGTGAGGTCAGTCTCCCCTCGCTTGCAGCTGCCGCCTGCCTGACCATCTGCATTGTGCCATCTGTTAACATAAGTGGCCTAATCCCAACTGTAGGTACTGAGGACAGGCGTTGTTGGCGTTTTCTAACCCCCTTGGCCCCAACCTGCTCCACTCACCGCCAAGCAGAGGGAGCTGATGCAGTGGCTTGCACTGAGATGTTCTGTTTGGTCTCCCGTCTAGTGGGCATCCCCACCATTCGATGGTGCGGGGCAGAGGGGGACTACAACGTCATGGTGATGGAGCTGTTGGGGCCGAGTCTGGAAGACCTCTTCAACTTCTGCTCGAGGAAGTTCAGCCTCAAAACTGTTCTGCTGCTTGCTGACCAAATGGTAAGGACTCATTTTTCCAAAGCATCCAGGCATCATGGACACTTGGTGCTCACTCGTTGGTCTGATAGTATAAACTACTCAGTTGTTGCTCTCTGTGATTAGGCCTGTTGATGTCCAGAGAGAAAGTGCATTCGTTTAACCTTAGCACCAAGGTAACAACACAGTTGGCCTGGAGACCCACTCTCTGAGTGTGCACATAGTACGGTAGTATTGAATGGGCCTCCTGATTCTCCCAGGAACACACGTTGGATTCTTCACAGCTTCTGTGCAGTTTCTGAGTGAATGCTGCGTGTCACTGTGTAAAGAGAGTGGCCCACGCAGGCCGGTGTCTTGTAGCTGGCTGTAGCCCCCCACTCCCCACCCCCGACAGGAGTCAGGGAGAGGGAACACCCAGGCCTGTCGGGTGGAGGGAGCTGGAGGTGCCTTGGGAGACAACTTTTGGTCAGTTCGGGATCCACGCCTCCTGACATCGAGGGGTGGAGAATGTGTGGTGACAGGCGTGGTCCTCCCTGCTAAGCAGGCTCCTCTTCCAAGGCCAGCTCTGGGTTTCATCTCTCACCATTACTTCTCTGCTTGTAGATTAGTCGTATTGAATACATTCATTCCAAGAACTTCATCCACCGCGATGTGAAGCCGGACAACTTCCTCATGGGGCTGGGGAAGAAAGGCAACCTTGTGTACATCATCGACTTTGGGCTGGCCAAGAAGTACCGGGATGCAAGAACCCACCAGCACATCCCTTACCGAGAGAACAAGAACCTCACCGGGACGGCGCGGTACGCCTCCATCAACACGCACCTCGGAATCGGTGAGCCCCTGGGGGCGGGGCTGCTGACCTGGGGTTCCCTAGAGCACGTCCCTCTCTCAGCTTAGGGAAGGGCCAGCGTCTCGGGGGATCTAGGGGTCGTGAGCATGTTTGGTCCTCACGAGTCATAGACTCGAGGCTGTCATCAGACCTTTGGAGCAGACAGGCCAGCTCTGGTGACTGCCGTTGGGTGTGGTGGGCGGGTAATGCCAGACCGTTTCTGACAGCCATCTGTGGTGCTGATAGTGCCCCCTCAAGGGGTTCGGGGATTTCCTTAATAACACAAGAAGGGTCACCCGTGCTAAGTAACTAACCCAGATGTGTTTCTCTGTTATTTTTATGGTGCATTTCCATTGTAAGTGTTTCCTGGGTCTCTTGCTTTTATATGAGCACGCATGTGCCATCCCTTACACGTTTTTCCTTTTCTTTTCAGAACAATCTCGAAGAGATGACTTGGAGTCTCTGGGTTACGTGTTAATGTACTTCAACCTGGGCTCTCTCCCCTGGCAGGGGCTGAAGGCTGCCACCAAGAGACAGAAATATGAGAGAATTAGTGAGAAGAAAATGTCCACTCCCATTGAAGTGTTGTGCAAAGGCTACCCGTGTAAGTCCCACAAGCCCGTCTTCTCACTGGAGCTAGCATGGCACTCGATGTGCTGAGGCCGCCCTGCCTCTCACTCACCTTCTACAAAGACGGTGGCAGGAAGGGGGGGCGCTTTTGTGTGTGGAGGTAGCAGTCACCCTCGTGTTCTCTTTGACCTGTTTACTGAGGACCTGTCTGTGGTGGGTTCTCCGAGGCCCACCCTCAAGGTGGACCCCCGAGGCAGGGCAGGCGTCTTTTAAGCTGACTGTGTCTGCTACCCCAGCCTTCTTTCCACTTCTCAAGCCATAACCAAGTGAGTTTTCCTCAGTCTGTGTGTGGGACTCCCCTAGGATGAGTGACCTGATGAAGTCACACCGTGCTCTGTGCTGTTCAGTTTTCTGAACGCTTTCCTGAGCACCAGCTTCCTTAGAAACGTAACTGTAGCAGACTTCCTCTCTCACGCCTTCAGCGTGTCGCAGCAGTAGTTAAACGGTGATGTCACAGACGCCACTCTGGGTCAGGGCCTCACTGGTGAGCTTCGAGTTTCTTGTTTTACAGCTGAATTTGCCACATACCTGAATTTCTGCCGTTCCTTGCGTTTTGATGATAAACCTGACTACTCATACCTGAGACAGCTCTTCAGGAACCTCTTCCACCGCCAGGGCTTCTCCTACGACTATGTGTTTGACTGGAACATGCTCAAATTTGTAAGTGGCACCGCCGGCACTCTCGCCTCTCAAATTTGGAGGGGAACAGCCCGGCAGCAGGAGGCTGGTGGCCACCGCAGCAGGGCTGCGTCTCGGGGATGGAGTTGTGCTGTGCGGGGGTCAGGGTCTGCAGGGCGCCTGCTGCATTGCGAGAGCAGTGCCCGAGGGCAAAGGGGGCTGAGCACAAAGGGCCAGCAGGATCACGGGCTGCGGACGGGGGCCCTGGAATGTGCCCTCGCATGCTGGTCTGTCCCAAGCTCTCGTCACACTGCGTGCTCTGCACAGTTGTCACTGCCAGTCCCAAGGGCTGCCTGTGTTGTTGTGGCGCCTCCTGGCTTGCTGGTGGGAAGCATTGTCCTGGTGCAGACGGTTGTGGCTGTGGCTGGAGGGCTCCCACCCTGCCCCTTCCTCCCTCTCGCCCT